CCGCAAACGTGAGTCGCAAATAGAAAGAGAGAGGAACACGAGAGTGACTACCTCTTTCTCTCTACCGACGCATGCGCAGTACTCATATAGGTGTATATGGGTTCGAATACGTACGCTGTATGCGTGCAGAGCATGCGCTCTGCTGCTGTTAAACAAAGAGAGGTAGTAAATTTCTACTTCGTTTTCTTTCTGACAGCGTATCAATTCTACTTACAGGCGAGAATATGGCATCTGTACTCAATCTATAATATCTCTATGGTGTGGATGCGCCTTGTTTGACGCGTTCCTACCGGAGGTGTCAAACGGTGTCCAAGATGGAGGAGACCGCCGTATACACGCCTCCGCGTCCTTTCTTTTCGTTAAGATCTTTATAGGAGAACTTTGGTTGCATTTATCTAGAGTTCCTTACATGTGAGAGTGTTGTGTTAAGTTATGGCTGCGTTCCATCTTATGTAGATGGTGGCAGCGTTTCTCCGCGTAGTTTCTCTCTGTGCCTCCCTGGCTCTCTCGTGTTCTTTTTTCAGCATTACTGCTTCACAGAATGCTTTGAAGGTTTCCCATTTTCCGGATGTGTGAAGGATAGCCTCTATGGCTCCTTTTAAGCTGGACAGCCGGCCCGTTATCTCGTATAACCTCTTTCTTTCCTCCGACCATGCCGGGAAGATGAAAGCGGTATGTATGTTGTCGTCCTTAATCGCGTTGCAGTGGTGGCATTTAGGCAATGGTTCTTTTTTTATTCTGCACAGGTAATCTTCAAAACAACCGTGCCCGGAGATTATCTGTGTCATCCTGTAGGAAAGGTTTCCGTAGGAACGGGTTACCCATCTGTCAAAGCAGGGCAGGATTGCCTTGACTACTTTTTGGTTTCGGTTGTCCGATAGCTGTAGTTTTTCGTGTCAGGTAAGTATTGTTTCCAGAAGTCTTTCTTTTTTTAATCTGGCTTTCTCTTTCTCCATATTCACGACTTCTGATGACTTCAACGATCGAGTGAGACCATAATATTTGTCGTATACTCTGATGAGCGTTTCTGTGGGAGGGGTGCTTGCTAGGAGGAATATCGCTGAGGTAGCTATTGTTTTGTATCCTCTTATCACCCTCAGTGCCATTTTTTTTTGTTCATTTGTTAGTTGTTTCATCAGAACATGTTGTTTTATTTTTCAGGACTTTTTTGGCCCAGATGTGACAACCGTACAAAGCCATCGAGTTGAAGAAGTTAGTGTATAACCTTCTCACTTCCTCTCGAGGGCCACCCAGGTTTGGTAGAATGTTCGAGAGAACGTTGACGTATCCTCTTAATCTCGGGATTAGATTGTCGATGTGCTGGTTGAATGTCATTCTTTCGTCCAGAATCACCCCTAAGTAACGCATTTCGGCTTTCATTAGTATGCATATACCATTTATCGTCATCTTTTTTACTTCTTCATCGATCTTCATGTTTCTGGGATAGAAACATGTGCTCGTTGTCTTATTCGTTGCCACTTTAAGTCCTATCTTTTCGATTCTTTTTAGGACATTCCACGTTGCTACCTCGGCTCTACCGGTAGCTCTCTGTATAGACTCGCCTGATGCGATCACGATGGTATCATCCGCATATCCGGTGATCTGCATGTTGTCGGTCAGTGTGGCGCGCAGGACTTCGTCGTATCCAATGTTCCACAGTGGGGCTGCCAGAGTGGAACCTTGAGGCACACCACATTTCATCGTTTTGGAGAGGAGTTTTCCTTCAGCATCGATAGTCATTACCTTCCTTTCTGTCAGGTACGCTGCTATTATTTCGGTTAGATAGGATGGAAACCGTCTCATTCTCATTGCCTTTATAATTGCGGGCCACGGTAAGGAATTGAAGGCATTGCTTATATCAATGCTTGCCGCTACCACGCATTTGCCATTTTGTATATTGTTATCAATAAAGTCTCTTACTCTCTTTATCGCGTCTATTGTTCGCCTTTCCTTCCTGAATCCATATTGCCAATGTGCAATGGTATCCGGGTTTGAGTTGCATATATTCTCAATTCTGTTTTCTATTATTCTTTCGAATAGCTTACTGAGGTCATCTAGGAGACAGATTGGTCTATACGCAGCCGGATCGTTAAGTGGCTTCCCTGGTTTGCTTAGCAATATTAGCTTCGCTGACTTCCAGCTAGGTGGAAAGGCTCTTTGCTTCAGACAAGTATTGAAAATTTCCCTGAAATGGGGTTCCAACACGTCGGCTGTCATGCTTATCATTTGTGCTGGGATGCCTTTAGGTCCAGGAGCAGCCTTTTTCTTTCTCATCTTAACGATGCTGTCTTTAATTTCCTCCGAGGTGATCTCCCATTCCTTGTGCCACTCTCCAGATGGAATTGGAGGAGACCATGGTTGGCTTTTCGGAAAGAGGGTATCAACCACTTTTTTTAGCAATTCCGGGTACATATTTTCAGTTGAAACAGGTCCTCCATTATCCCTCAGTTTTTTGGTCCACTTATAGGGCTTGCCCCATGGATTGTCGTCTAGCGATTGAAGAGTCCTTTTCCAGGCTTGTAGTTTGGCTGCAATTATCGATTTTTTTAGTTGTTTTTTAGCTTCTTTGTACTGCGTGTGTTTTAGTATCGTGTCGTCGTTATTCAGACGTTGTCTTTTTCTGGCCTTTTGCCAAGCTCTTCTCTTTCTTTGACAGTCTTGTCTTAGAGCAGTTAGATTTTCATTCCACCATTCGTTTGGAGGTTTCGTCGTGTATGCTTTCTTTCTTGGCATCGAAAGATTGCATATTCTCGTTAGTGTCTCTTCTAATTTTTTAATTTCTTTTTCCAGGTTCGAGGGGTTGACCGTTCGGGGGTTCCATGATTCAGCAATGAGGAGCGCTTTGCAGAGGTCCGAGTTGAGTTTCTTAATGTTCCACCTTGGGAAATATTGTGCGTTCAGGTGTCTTGTACTTTCACTTTTAGTAGCCGACTTCCCATGGTGGAAGATCATGGAGATGTATACGTGATCGGAGAGTGTTTCGACTCCTTCTTGCACCCTCCAATTCCACAGCATTTTCATCGCTGTCTCATTTGCCCATGTTACATCGACTATCGACGAGCCTTGCGATCTTATGCATGTTGGAGCGTTTCCTCTATTTACAAGGAAAAGCCCATCTTTCTAGTGCTTTCCCTTTCACGCTGTTCTTTCTGCTTCTCCATTTTTTGTTATGGGCGTTGAAATCTCCGCCGATGATCGTTGGGATTTTTTCGTTTCCTTTGGTTAACACTTTGCTGATTTCTTTCAAGAATTTCTCAAAGGCTGAGGGGGTGCTATTTGGGGAGAAGTAGCATCCACCTATCCTTAGATGTTGGTCACCGACGAGAACAAAGCAGTCGAAGGAGCTCTGCATTTTGAAGGAAGACGCTAACTCACTGTTATTGAGGAAGATAGCAGCCTTCCCGTTCGGGTCACAGACCCATTTCCTGCCTGGGTTTCTTCTCGGTTCGCTAATGATTCCTACATCCGTGTTGGATTCGTCGCAGCGCTTTGTGAATAGTAAGTGCGCGGCGTAAGAATTGTCTAGATTAGATTGTATTATTTTAATATCCATTGTCTTTTTTCTTTAGATTAGCTTGCTTTTTTCTTTACTTGTTTTTCCTTTTCAGGAGCGTCGTGCGCCACTGGGCTGGTTCCTCTATGGCTTTCCATGTTGGATTCTGTCTCTAAGTTTAAAATAGGTGTGTTCTTTGTTGTATTTTTGTCAGTTTCTGTATCGTCTTTCTGGTTTTTTCTTTCTTTTTGGCTCGCATTTTCTCTGAATTTGCGTAGCTTGGCGCACGCTTTGCTTCCCATCCTGTGTGAGGAGGGTAGCTTTTCTTCCTCGCAGATTCTGCAAATCATGCTAGTGGCACGGCAAATTCTGGCGACATGTTCTTTGTTCCCACATTTGTAGCATCAGCTAGATCTATCGGTGGGGCTTCTACATGCACCGCTTACATGTCCGAATTCCCAGCACCTATAACACTGCAGCGGTCTTGCTTCAGCTTCGATGATTTTCACATCCGACCAGCCCATTCTTATCCTTCCTTCGGTTAGAAGTTTAAGGGCGGTTTCTCTCTTGCATCTAAGTGAAACAGAGCTTGTGCCGCGTGCATTCTTCCGGATTGTTCCGACCTTAATCTCTTGGTCCGGGCCGGTTTCTCTTTTGATTGCGTCAATAATATCGTCTTGATTTATCGAGTGGTCCATCCCAAGAGCGATGATTTCTTTCCATTTCTGTGGACGGGTGACTCTGACTTTTTTACCTTTGACAAGTTCGGTAATCTTTCCGGCTAATGCGTTAGTGTTTTGCTCCATATCTTTCCCTGGGATCTCTAGGATGAGCCCACCGTTTAATGAGGTTCTCGGTCTCAATCCTCCGATTCCCAGATCCTGGATGTTTATCTTCTCGCGGGCCATTTTCATTATTTCCGCGTAGTCTACTTCGCAGCCTTCCTCCCTTATAATGTGGATTACGGCGCGGTCTTTGGCTACTCTCGCCGGAGTTTTCTTTTTTGTAGTCTGCCTGCTTGCTTCTGTGTCGCGAGACTTCGTCACCTGTCTTTCGTCTTGTTTTGCAGTTTCTTTGGAGTTGCTCTTTTTCCTTCTCCCGATTACTTCCGTCCATTTTGTTGGAGCCGTTTCTGCTGGTTTATTTAAATTATCTTTGGCTCTATCTTTTGTGATTGTGCTGTTTTTAGCACTTTCTCCTTTTCCAGGGGCATGACTTCTGTTTGCAAGACCGATAGTCAGCATTTCCTTGGTTTCGGTCTTGAAATCCGTCATTTGTCTATCTAGGCTTAGTTTTATTTCTTTCAGGTGTTCCTGAGGGTCAGTGGTGTAAGGTATTTTCCCTTCGTCTTTCTTTTCTTTGTAGACTGCGTTTTCTAGGACTGTAATTCTTTTTTCTAGAACTTCGATGTATTTTTTGAGTTTGCTATTTTCTTCTTTCAGTACTAGGTTCTCAGTCTTAGTCTTCTTTCCGTTCTTCCTTCCGGTAAATTCGGAGCTTACTTCTTTAATCGTTTCTTCCGCGATTTTTAGTTTCCTTTTATATCCTCCTTGGAGGTTGGACGATCTCGTCCTCACAATTTCTATTTCCTGGACGCATTCCAGTAGGGAGCTTATCAGAGCTGCGTCCGGTTTGTTTATCGNTTCCCATCCTGTGTGAGGAGGGTAGCTTTTCTTCCTCGCAGATTCTGCAAATCATGCTAGTGGCACGGCAAATTCTGGCGACATGTTCTTTGTTCCCACATTTGTAGCATCAGCTAGATCTATCGGTGGGGCTTCTACATGCACCGCTTACATGTCCGAATTCCCAGCACCTATAACACTGCAGCGGTCTTGCTTCAGCTTCGATGATTTTCACATCCGACCAGCCCATTCTTATCCTTCCTTCGGTTAGAAGTTTAAGGGCGGTTTCTCTCTTGCATCTAAGTGAAACAGAGCTTGTGCCGCGTGCATTCTTCCGGATTGTTCCGACCTTAATCTCTTGGTCCGGGCCGGTTTCTCTTTTGATTGCGTCAATAATATCGTCTTGATTTATCGAGTGGTCCATCCCAAGAGCGATGATTTCTTTCCATTTCTGTGGACGGGTGACTCTGACTTTTTTACCTTTGACAAGTTCGGTAATCTTTCCGGCTAATGCGTTAGTGTTTTGCTCCATATCTTTCCCTGGGATCTCTAGGATGAGCCCACCGTTTAATGAGGTTCTCGGTCTCAATCCTCCGATTCCCAGATCCTGGATGTTTATCTTCTCGCGGGCCATTTTCATTATTTCCGCGTAGTCTACTTCGCAGCCTTCCTCCCTTATAATGTGGATTACGGCGCGGTCTTTGGCTACTCTCGCCGGAGTTTTCTTTTTTGTAGTCTGCCTGCTTGCTTCTGTGTCGCGAGACTTCGTCACCTGTCTTTCGTCTTGTTTTGCAGTTTCTTTGGAGTTGCTCTTTTTCCTTCTCCCGATTACTTCCGTCCATTTTGTTGGAGCCGTTTCTGCTGGTTTATTTAAATTATCTTTGGCTCTATCTTTTGTGATTGTGCTGTTTTTAGCACTTTCTCCTTTTCCAGGGGCATGACTTCTGTTTGCAAGACCGATAGTCAGCATTTCCTTGGTTTCGGTCTTGAAATCCGTCATTTGTCTATCTAGGCTTACTTTTATTTCTTTCAGGTGTTCCTGAGGGTCAGTGGTGTAAGGTATTTTCCCTTCGTCTTTCTTTTCTTTGTAGACTGCGTTTTCTAGGACTGTAATTCTTTTTTCTAGAACTTCGATGTATTTTTTGAGTTTGCTATTTTCTTCTTTCAGTACTAGGTTCTCAGTCTTAGTCTTCTTTCCGTTCTTCCTTCCGGTAAATTCGGAGCTTACTTCTTTAATCGTTTCTTCCGCGATTTTTAGTTTCCTTTTATATCCTCCTTGGAGGTTGGACGATCTCGTCCTCACAATTTCTATTTCCTGGACGCATTCCAGTAGGGAGCTTATCAGAGCTGCGTCCGGTTTGTTTATCGTGTCCACCGAGAACTCGCTCTCTTCCCCTTCTGAAAACGAATCGTCGCAGGAGTCGTTTACCGAGTAGCTCAGTTTCTTTTTTTTTTTTCGTCTTTCTTTTGTTTTTCAGTTGATCTCTTCTTCTCATTGCTTCTTTTCCTCTTGCTTTGTTTCAGAGTGCTCCTGGTTATTGTTCCCACCGGCGTACGGAAGACGTTTCCTTCTTCGCGCGGCGTGATCTGCAATGGCGGCTGATTCTGTATTCCAATTGAACTACGCGACAGAGAGAATCTAGGTGCGTGTACGCTTTCATAAGATTCTCTGTCTGTGTCCGAGAGTTTGTGCGTATCTTCCTTGTTGGATTCGGTCTCACTGAGTGCGCGACCGGTGTACTCAGTCAGATCTTTTCCAAAGTCTATTAGACTTTGTTTGAACATGCCTTGATTTGGGGGTTTTTGATAATTAGACATAGTTTAACGTTTAATGGCGCATCGTGTAGGGGGGAGCGGGCCGCAACACGGGAGGGTGCACCCACTACTGGAGTATGTAGCTTCCCGGAACTCCGGGGACCCCGTGCTTTACATTTAATCTCCCCCAGTGTGACGGGGAGAGACTCGCTCGTAAACGGTGGAAGCTCCGACACTTCCACTCAGCCTACACTTCCTGGCTAGGGACCGAAGTGGCCATCCCCGGACATCACGCAGCCCGAACACCTCGGCAGAGCTCGCTCACATCAGCACGGGAGACGACGGGGTGGGAT